ACATTTCAAGTTTCAACAAAATCGGATAAAAATTGTGACCTCTATAGGGTCCACAACATTGATATACCATATTTTTACGCAATTTGAGAACGAGGGGCGGCCATTTTGTCTGTCAGTTTTGGGCCGATTTTCACGAAATTTGAACTCAGTCGTCCTCAGGGTGTAACGGTGATATAATAATACGTTTTTTTTTTCAATCGGATAAAAATTATGACCTCTATAGGGTCCACAAGTTAAAAACGCGATTTTTCGTACAATCAGGGGCCATAATTCAGTAAGTTACGGTCCGATATGCGCGAATATCGAAAGGAACCAAGATCTTTGGGTTGTAAACTTACATTTCAAGTTTCAACAAAATCGGATAAAAATTGTGACCTCTACAGTGTTCACAAGCTAAAAATCAGGGGCCATAATCCATGAAATTACGGTCAGATAGATGCCAATATCGAAAGGAACCGAGATCTTAGGGTGATAAACCTATATTTCAAGTTTCATTGAAATCGGATAAAATTGTGACCTGTAGACTGTTCACAAACAATTGTGGACGGACGGACGGACGGACAGGGGCGACGACAATATACGTCCACATGAAAATGTGGGCGTATAAAAAGGTCGTCGAATTTTTCATTGCTCGAAAATAAAATTTTGGGCAAATGCCCCCCCCCCCTGCCCCCCCCCCCCCCCGACTCCTACGCCTATGAACTTGCAAATAGATGTTTTGGACATGCCGTCATTATAAAAAGGTGGCGATTGAGCGTAAACAATGTCGGGCACAATGGTGTAAATATAAATTCCTTATTTATGACGTCATTTACGTGGGGTTCCTCACACTTTTCAGCGATTTTTCTGTACACATGGAAATACAACAAATCGCTTACGTACGTGGAAAGCGGCCCTTAAAATCTACCATGTACTGACAAACAGATGCCAGTCATGATTAAGAAAAATATTTCACAATAATCGTATTTGGAGAATAAAACCGAGGTATGAACCCCGTAAAAAAACAAAAAACAAACGTGGGATTTTGATATTAAAGAAGTACGTTTATACTATGGACGCATGACGTCATCACCGCCAATTTGGAATTATGTAACAAACATGCCAATAGTAAGGCAGCTAGGTTCAGGTTGTTTCGAAAATCGCGTACAAAATTTCTACTATATGCTAGATGAGTGGACAGCGGTGCCCGAAGGGGTTCAAACAAAACATCGTAATGTCGAGTTTAATTCGACTTTTGCGTACAACAATCAACTTTCGTGCATAAGTTGACCAACTTCACTGCTTAAGAAGACCCCCCCCCCTTCTTAAGAACACCCCCTTTACTCCCCTGAGAGATGAGTTAATTTGACTTCCGCGTACAACATTTTTCCGTTAAAAGTTTCACTATTGGTCCACTAGAACATAACATAAACTCAAGAACACGAAATCCCCTTCTGTCCCGGATAAGGACAAAACGGGGACCCATGGGTGTAAAGACCAAAATGACGATTTAATTCGACTTTTGCGTACAACAATCAACTTTCGTGCAAATGTCGACCAACATCAGATGTCCTCAAAAACACTGCTTAAAAATACCCACTACCCTTCCTTCCACCCTTAAGAACACCCCCTTTACGCCCCTGAGAGATGAGTTAATTCGACTTCCGCGTATAACATTAATTTTTCCGTTTAAAGTTTCACTATTGGTCTGCTAGAACATAACACTAACTTAAGAACGCGAAACCCCCTTCTATCCCCGATAAGAACGACAAAACGGGGGCCCATGGGTGAAATAACCAAAAAGACAATTTAATTCGACTTATGCGTACAGCGATCAACTTTCCTGCATACGTCGACCAACCTCAGATGTCATCAAAAACACTGCGTACAACATTATTTTTTTCTTTAAAAATTTCACTATTAGTTTACTAGAACATAACACTTACTTAAGAACACAAAATCCCCTTCTACCCCTGATAAGGACGACAAAACACGGGGGGGGGGGGTCAAATAGCCTAAACTGACTATTTAAGTCAACTTCAGCCTACAGATTTCATCCTTCCTGCATATGTAAACTTACCTCAGATGACATCAAAAACTCTGCTTAAGTAGATCACGGACCCATTCTTCATCCCTTAAGACCCCCACCCCCCTTTACCCCCCACTGGAGATAAGTTAATTCAACTTTCGCGTACAACATTATTTTTTTCGTTAAACGTTTCACTATTAGTCCACGGGTTACTATGGGTTTTATATAGATCGGCTCTCGGATATAGGAGTCTTCATACTCATGATATTCCAGGATCTTCCAAACGGAGTGCTATTTTCACTGGTTACATAAGATACAAGCATAGATTACAATAAAGTTATTCTCTCTTCTCACAACCCCACCATTTCGTAGAACGAGTTTACTGACGGACTTATTACACCATATGGCTCTTCTACGACTTAACAGGGCACATGGTTGTCTGTCGAATGCCCAGAGATATGATAGTTTTCTACTGTGTGAACTGTGTGATAATTAATCCGATGTGCGGTATAATTAATTGTTGGTAATAATTTTTGGTATTTATATAAAAAAAAATAACGTTATAGGCCTATACCTATTCAATCAATGATTCAATGGCCTCGGCTGAGGTTAATTGACAGGACTGCTTAAGTTAATCAGGAAATATTAAAAATATTCAAGGGTGAAATTAATTCAAGGTCAGTAAAACAAATATAGTACAAAAGAAATAATCCCACCAAACTCTCTAACCAAATAATTATAATACAAGAGGGAAACAAAATACCGGACTACGGGCGTATTTATGTTTTTAAACGCCCAAACTCATTACTGGGTTCCGAGAGGAATAGCTTATTCATACACAACCGTTACGACAGACAAGCCTTGCTTTGACCCCCTATACGAAATGATATATCCCGATAAGTGACGTAATTAGCCTTCATTTTGGTTATTTCTCGGTGTCAAAGTTTGTGATGAGTTCAATTTTACAAGAGAGAACTTTTTTATTCGCTAGGACATATAGTTGTACAATGGATTTTATATAACCGGAGGTAATTTCAAACACACAGGTAAGTTTATAATAACCAAAGTATAGTAGTTTGTTCATAATCGAAGAAATCCGTTTATTATTTACCACGGTTCACACAGTAGCCTTCGGTTGAGTTTCAATTATCTAATTGGTCAAATATTACGTAATATTATGATGATTGTTTACTTAAGCCAAATGATGCAATCGTAATTTTCCGATCACGAGTGATCTGGTGATATTTTGTAGACACATAGAACCAGCTATGTTTTGGTTTTATAACTCGTTGTACGTTATAATCCGTCACTCATCATTTCAGTGCGTGAGATCACTTCTATAGAATGTGTGAATCCAATAATTAGTTAAAGACACAATATAATGCTATTATTATTTATCCAACCTTCTAAAACTTGATAAACCTAAAAATGATACACCCCCAATACGAGTCTTTAGACCAGTCCACGGCAACCCGCAACTTAAAAGAGAGAGAGAGAGAGAGGTGGGGTTTAACGTCCACTCGACACAAACTAGGTCATTTCGGGACTACCGCAACATAAAAGTCATGGTTCAGAGTATCGGGCACCACTGTCCACTCATCTAGTATAGTAGAAATTTTGTACGCGATTTTCGAAACAAGTTACATGTCGATGGTTTGAATTGCAGGAGCCGAGGACGTTTTTCGAAGAGCATCGCCCTTAAGAAGAACAAGATGTGTATCTCTAGGGGACCAATCATCCTGCTCCAACAATATTTTTTTTTATTGTGGTTCATAGTTTTTACTACAGGTTTTTGTTTGTCAAAAGTGAATTTGACATAGTATAATCGAATAACGATAAAAGTATGGTTGATATCATGATATCAGTACCAACAAAATGGCCTTTTAATTACCCAAATTGTTTCAAATGTTTTATCATATCTTTGTAAATACATGTACTTTGTAAATCACGTTCAGAGACGTTAACGGAAGACGCTTTTATAACCACCATTTTGAATCCCAAATATCTACACAACCAGGCAGGCGGACTTGAAGATTAATTTTGCTGGATTCGAATCTACAAAAACCCTTTATGGATCAAATACAGAGATGCGAAACATACGCCCACAGTGACTGACTTTCAATTCTCCCTAGTGCTAATTAATAGTCTTTATTTCACCTTGCTGTATATATATTTCAAATCCATCGGCTAATAATTTTATCCACACAGAGGTCCATAGTTAAGATTAGAAAAAAGAGATCAAGGGCAATAACACTAAAGGAATGGTCGGCTTCTTCATCTCCTGAACATAAACCATGTGTATCAATTTCAAATCAATCAGATGACAGCTTTAGCCTCTACAGCGTCCACAAGATTGATCTAATTTATCGGAAATCGTTGAAAATCAATAGGATTCATCGTCTCATAAACAAAAGCACCGTGTATAAATACATAACATGACATAAATCTACATAGTCTTCCTGGTATAGTTTGACAATGGCCAATATAGGAACAATGAGATGAAATAAAGGTTCATAGACCAATTATGTAATCTGGCTATAATAAAACTTAACCTTTCATTAATTTACATAATCTTCCTGGTATAATTTGACAATATATTTCAAATCCATCGCCTAATAATTTTATCCACAAGGGGTCCATAATTAAGATTTTAAAAAGGCGATCAAAGGTAATATCACTAATAAAATAGTCAGCTTTTTCATCTCCTAGAAATAAACCATGTGTATAAATTTCAAATTAATCGGATGACAGCTTTAGCCTCTAGCGCGTCCATAAGATGGATTGGAATTATCAGAAATCGTTGAAAATCAACATGATTCTTCGTCGCATAAACAAAAGCACTGTGTATAAATTTCAAGTTGATCATAAATCTCATAACAGTCAATAACACGGGAAAACAAATATCTGACCTCTCTACCAAAAACATGGTCTTTTTTTTTAATTCTACGCCCCACATGGATCACTTGTTGTTTCAAGAGATAGAACTTCATGGAATGTTTACACACAATTTATTTTTTATTAAAACTTAGCAGCATGGATATTTATGGTCATCTTAAGATTCATTATGTAAGAGCTAGCTCTGCCTATAACATTTATAGGCATTTATTCGGATGACAAGCTTATAATTAACCCTCTAGACCATCGAGTGGCCGAAATTCAAAGGGATTTGAACACCCACGAAATTTAAAAACTTAACGATAAAATGAATAATCGAGACTTAGTCTCGGTTATCAAGTACCGCTGCTACGATAATATACAATCTGCGATACAATATTCAAACAGTCATAGCATAAAGTAATTTGAATGAAATTTTCAATGTATTCATTTTTCTCATTATCTATTTTTAAACTATAATGGCTAGCTCTTTATCTAAATCTTAGATAATGCATCTTTATGCGAAGCAGTTTCCACATAATCAAATCGTATGCACTTAAGGTCCACTATATTTACATATAAAAAAATGTAATCAGAAAAATTAAGGAAGAACCAATGACAAGACACTTATTGTTCCTACTTTCAGGAGTAAAATCCAGTTGTTTGACTGAAATACCCGGAGGAACCGTCGTATTTTGGGCTATCTATACATCTTTGAAGGCACGGCAAAACTTCGTCTGAACCGAGAGCTACCTGGCTTAGTTCTTTATTAGAAAGTTCACGATTAATGCTCGGTTCGTTGCTGTAGAGAGGATTTGGCTGAATTTCTAAATAATTCTAAACAGAAAGAAAAAGAATACCAACTACAATTAATTTTATCATCGAATAATTTATAGAAAGGAAAAAAAATTAGATAAAAAAAAATTCATCATTGACTAATAAATATTATGTCAGATTATCTTAACTTAGATAAAACAATAAAATTATTGGATGATAACACAGTACACTGTACTAATGTTGATTGCTACAAATGGCTCATATAATTCCAAGAAGAAATGTTATTTAACGTATTTTTTTTATATAATTGTTGTTATAAACTGAAGAATACTGTTCGTTTATTCATTACATGATCGATTTTCCCTTCCAAACGTCTGATCCCAGGCAGGTCGGTAATCAGAAGTGGCTTTTTATTCAATGCGATTCAAGCATAATCTGGTCAATACGCCGAATACTTATCACCAAAGAGTGAGCTCGATCATATTTTCATTTATTTGTCAGCAATTAAATTAAACGCAAAACCTATGTCGCGATAACGCTGCACTGAAGTCGAACGCTTAAAATGGAAACGCGGTATTACAATTAACTCACCCTATCCATTGCACCTAATAATATAGTTTCCATTACTTCACATAACTTGGCAAATGTTGGTCTTTTACGTGGATCTTCATCCCAACAACGTCTCATTATATTGTATCTGAAACAAGTAAATATCATCAGTTATAAAAGAACACACACCCACCAGCTGTATTTGTTTTCTTTGATAATTGGTTTGGTTTTGTCAGATCTTGATATTGACCCCGAGTGCTAAATCAACACCTAAAACCTTGTTACACAAATCATTAACAACTTGTAAAACTAAATTTAATAATCATAGATCTGCGTGAAATTTTGAGAATGCACACAAACTGCTGTATGAACATTCTAAGCAAAATCCCTGTAAGGACTATGGATATAAAGTACAAGTTTTCTTCAAAAACTTTCCGGCTCAGGCCAACTCACTAACTGCAACATCGATCCTGGTAAGACAAAAAAGAACTCATGGAGAATGCTAGATTTAAAAACATTGATTATAATAACCGCGATGAAAATACTTTGATTATAAGAAATTGTTATAAGAAACTTGATCATTAATTTCAAAATAAAAAACGTTCTATAAAAAAATCAAAATTTCAATAAGACCCGGAAATTATTTTGAATGATTGTACAATACTTCCGATAAAGTGTCCTGTACAGCCTACACTGTAACAAAAATTTCCGTGAAAAAACGTAAAAAATTCCGGAAACAAAAATTACCAGGAAAATTTTATCCGGATTTGTTTTTCCTGTAATTTACACAAATTCCCTCAATTAACCTAAATTCCATTTTCTAATACAGAAAAAAAAAATCCTGGTAAATTTTGTTTCCTGACCATGAAGGTGATAAAAATTTCATTGAATTAACCATTGACTTTATACGCGTGCGTGAAATAGCTTTATTTAACGTCCGCTTCCACCGAAGTGATACCGCAGATAATCTTTAAACGTTACCTCTTTTCGCTAATATAAGAATCGAGAGCAAAAGGTACCACAAACCGTTACTCGTCAGTGGTTGGAGGCTTTCAGATGTAAGTTTGCCATAGAGTCAAACCGACTTACACTGGCCAACCGGTTGTACTATCCGGATTGAAGCGTGCTTGATTACCAGATATTACTACCTTAACACACGCAGCATTAAAACATATTTTTATATATTTATGAAAATACTTACAATCTGATTTCCGTATGATGAATCATAATACACTTTATAGATCTTATAAATAATGGAAATCAGATATACATGGCAATTGATATGCTAAACTTTACAAAATATGATTCTTCATATTATGGTTAATCAATTGAAATGAATACTATAACATGGTGATTATTAGGAATGATTATATATATATACGATTACTTATCGTTGCACAGTTTATCCCGTAAAATAACAGACTTAAGTCCATTACAGAACGGAATAAAACATTTTATCCCTAAATTTCAAGGAACTTCCTTGTCATTCCACCGTTTATTCCGTAAAATGACAGAATTAAGTCCATTATAGAAGGGAATAAAACATTTTATCCCTAAATTTCACGGAAATTTCCTGTTTAATACTGAATATTCCACAGAAATACATAAAACACGTAATTTGAAGAAATAATTCACACTATTAACACAATTTCTCCCAAAAATCCATCGATTAACAGAAAAAAGGTGTTAAATTACGGAATTCGGTCACATAAAAAATGGATATTTTTTACAGTGTACACTGTAAAAAATATATGTTTTTTAAATCCCCACTTTTTGTTATTTGACGGAAATTATCCGTATTATCACAGAAATATCTGTGATTTGAGATAAATAACCCGTATTTTTACCATAAAATCTGTTGTTTTAGTTGCATTTCTGTATTTGGACAGAAGCGTCTGTATTTTTAAATACTTTTCAGTATATTAACTGATAGAAACAGTTTATTAACAATGTAAATTGTATTATTAATCAAAAAACCTGTAAAATTCCAGAATAACTTGTATATTACCGGCACTGTTCCGTTTATTCACAAAGTTATATTGTTGGATTCAGTTAACGCATGCGCGTCGTATACTTTAATTATGGCGGTGCTGACAATGCAAAGAAAATAAATAACAGAGGGAAATGAACAATATATGTGAAGGTAAGTCTTCCTAATAATATGTATATGTGAAGGCAGATCTACAGCATAGGTAGATACTGAGTATGTTATTGGATTTAAAGACACAGTCTCGGTACTGTCTGTTCTGTTTGCCGTTTTTTTATCTTGTAGAAATATATGAAATCGACCATAAACAATATTAATGTGTAAGAGACGCGATGGATCAGTGAATATGATGCTGGCTCATTAACCATTAGCCACGAAAGCTACCCTGTTTTGCAAATTGTCCTCCCTGTCAGTGATGCAAGTTTGAATTTGTTCAGTTTGGACTAACAACAGGGGCCCTGTGTGCTATTGACTGTAGATTTTAAAGAAGACGTAAGCCTTAAACAGTTATCTCCGCTGCCTTGGCAAGATGTCGCCGATGGGATACCGTACTCATGACATATGCAGGAAAGTTAACACCTTTTAATTTCATGTTTCTGTATGCGCTTCATCATTTTGTTTCAGGTTTATATTGAAGATAAATAAAAATTGCAAATGGAAGAAGATACGGTAGAAAGTAATAAAGGTAGTCTTCATAAATCACAAAATTTGAAGCCATGCACAATTTATTGCTCTGAATTTCTGTTCATTTTTAATGTTTTTGTAAATTCATGACTGAATAATTACATTTATTGAAAATAAATTATTTTTTACAGATGATTTTGTTTATATTTAACCAAAATAATTATGTTAAAGGAGCTAAATCGCTAATATTTGGGACCTAGAAATTGACCCAAATGGGTCGCAACGCATATAATAATGTAATCTGATTGTATATAAACTGATTTACATTCAATTGTTTCCGTTTTTACTCTTAATTTCAAATCAGTTATGTCCAGCGAAATAAGTGTGACAGTATTAGTTCTTTAATCAGGTTCTGGATGACAAGACTAGTTTAACATCTTAAAATACTTTTATTCTCGGCTTCTTCTAACATATTATATACAAAACTTAAAGGCTCCATAACTAGCTTACATTAGTTGGCCGTTGTCCGGTCTTAACTCCAAACCAGCGTGGCCTGGAGTTAACTACCAGACGTCGCCTAGCCTCCGACTGCTCTCATGTCCTGCCTGGACCTCTCTGCCCTTTTCGTTGTTAATCTGGGTTTATAAACCATTCCAGACAAAGGAATCTTATTAGACATCTGGCTAATGTATCATATATAGTTTAACATTCGATACATGCTAATCAGACAAAGAAAGTTTAAATAAAACATGCCAGCAAGTTAACGTTTACATAATCATTACATAATCACATAGACCAAGGACTCCAGGCATGTCGATAACGAACAGGTGTCAAGTTGGCAGGAAGCGTCTTTAACATCAGATGATCTGATTATGTAACATAAGGCATGTGTCTCAACCCTATAGAAATTTCTAGCGTCTGGTTATTCCAGTCTATGGAACAGGCTCTCCAGTTGAATATGTCTAGCCTCGTTCTTCCTGGTCACTTGTTGCAAATGACGCTAAAACGCACTATGGTACACAATTCGTGTACCAATGGTAAAATGTTTATTTTGTGTTGAATATTGGATATCAGAAGCCTACCTTTTCCAGGTAAGATCACAACATCAATGTTGATTTGAATTGACAAATAATTCGTATTTTCAACGCGTAAGACTTTGGATGATATTGAGTTAGAGACTTGGCTACTTTAAAGAACAGAAAATCTCCTGGCAGCAGATTTACCAGATTGGTTTCCTGTAATTCTACAGAAACGTACTATTGTGACTTAACAGAAATAATTATGTTAAAGAACAGAAAATCTTCTGGCAGGAGATTTACCAGATTTTTTTCCTGTAATTTTACAGAAACATGCTATTGTGACTTAACAGAATTTTTCTGTTAAAAAACAAACAGAATAAAAATTACAGAAAAAAATCTGGTAAATCTTTCTGTTATTTTTTTTACAGAATTTTTTCTTACAGTGTATGTACTCAACCTAGCCCGACAAATTGTACACATTTTGAAACCAGCCATTGACAGGCAAGATTTTGCATGAGATGAACAGAGAACAATCAGGGGTCCATAATCAAGTTACGGCCCGATATGCATAAATATCGACAGAAACCGAGATCTGTTGGATATAAACATATATTTTAAGTTTAATCAAGATCGGATAAAATCTGTGACTTCTAAAGGGTCCACGCAACCTTGGTATTGCATACTTATATTGGGGTTGGATGGCCGAATGGTTAGCACGTGCGCGCTGTGTCATAAGTTCTGTCATTGAGTCAACTAGCGTGGTTTCGAATCCCCGGTTGTACGTGACAAGGAGTAGGGTCGCCTGTCCAACCTTGGGGGTTTTCTCCGGGTCCCCCGGTTTCCTCCCCCTGCTAAAGACCCCTACGTGCAAGCGAATTATTGAAATAAAATTTAAAAAACCATGTTAGTCACGAAATTACCTAGTTTATGTCGAGTGGACGATAAACTCTTTCTCTCTCTCTCTCTCTCTCTCTCTCTCTCTCACTCACTCACACACACACACACCCACACACACACACACATACTTATACACTATTTGCATACAAGCAGCAGCCATTATGTCAAGCAGTTTCGGTCCTATTTTCACGAGATTTGAACTCAGCCATGATTAGGGTGTAACGGTAATATATTTAAACTGTTTTTTTAATCAGAAAAAAATTGTGATCTCTAGGGGCCTTAATCAAGGAAGTTACGGTCTGATATGCGATTATCGACAGGAACCGAGATCTTTGGGTTATAAACACACATTTCAAGTTTCATCAAAATCAAAACTTCTAGAGGGTGCACAACCTTGGTATTACATACGTTTAGACTGTTTGCGTACACGGAGCGGCCATTTTGTCAGGCAGTTTCGGTCGGATTTTTACGAAATTTGAATCCAACCATCACTGAGGAGTAACGGTGATATATTTAAACATTTTTTAAAATTGAATACAAACTGCCACCTCTACAGGGTCCACAAGCTAAAAACGTGATATTTCGAATAGTCAGGCACCATAATCCAGAAAGTTACTGTCCGATATGTGTGATTATCAAGAGGAACCAAGATCTTTGTGATATAAACATACATTTCAAGTTTCATCAAAATCGAATAAAAACTGTGACGTCTAGAGGGTCTACAACCTTGGTATTACATACTTTTAGACTATTTGCATACAAGAAGCGGACATTTTGTCCAGCAGTTTCGGTCGGATTTTTTTTTTTATGAAATTCGAGCTCAACCTGTATTGAGGTGTAACTGTGATGATATATTTAATCGGTTTTTAAAATTGAATCTAAATTGTGACTTCTACATGGTCCACAAGCTAAAACCGTGATTTTTCGAACAATCTGGGGCCATAATCCAGGAAGTTACAGTCCAAAATGCGTGATTATCGACAGGAACCGAGATCTTTGTGAAATAAACATAAATTTAAAGTTGATATGACATACTTTTACACTATTTTCTCCGGCAGTTTCGGTCCGATTTTCACGAAATTCGAGCTCAACCCTAATTATGGTCTAACGGTGATATATTTAAATGTTTTTTTAAATCGAATAAAACTTGTGACGTCTATAGGGTCCACAAGCTAAAACGCGATTTTTCGTACAATCAGGCGCCATAATCCAGGAAGTTACGGACCGATATGTGCGAATATCACAAGGAACCAAGATCTTTAGGTTATAAACATACATTTCAAGTTTCATCAAAATCGTATAAAAATTGTGACTTCTAGCGTGTCCACAAGTTAAAAACGTGATTTTTCGTACAACCAGGGGCCATAATCCATGAAGTTACGGTCCGATATATGCCAATATCCATATGAACCGAGATCTTTGAGCGATAGACCTATATTTCAAGTTTCGTTAAAATCGGACACAAACTGTGACCCGTAGAGTGTCCACAAACAAAATGTGAACGGACACGCGGACGGACGGTGGAGACGACAGTATACGTCCACATGAACATGAACATGTGGACGTATAAAAACCAGCAGCGATATCACCTATTATAATCAACTCAATGGTGTCCACAAACAAAATGTGAACTGACACACGGACGGACGGACGGTGGCAACGACAGTATACGTCCACATGAACATATGGGCGTATAAAAATCAGCAGCGATATCACCTATTATAATCAACTCAATGAACGTTTTCTTCCTCAATATTACGATTTTATAATCTATTTGTTAATAGCAAATTTTCACCTACGCATTTTATATAACCTCATAAAGTACGAAAGAAAAAAACTGATGTGTTATGTAAAATCATTTTTAACAGATAAAGACATACAAGACATTGGATTAAATAGAATCTTTAGAGACCGTAACGCCAATTCGTAATAAAATATTTAACTAAACATTGAAAATCTGAACGTACAAGAATTTATTGATAACTACGATAATATATCATGTTAATGCGCAAACTCTCCTTTTAAAGACAGGTTTCGTGACCATATACTCATAGGAAATTTCGATGCTGTTGAAGATAAAAATCTTAAAAACCTTTTTACGCTTTGGACCACAATTTCGAGAACAACTAAGTAGAACAATTTTCAAAACGTTACATAATAATCTAAAATCTCCAAACTTAATGCGGTTTTCTCAGTAGAATCGATTAAAAAAATATCAGGCCTAATTTTTTTTTTTTTTTTTTTTTACAAAATTTGACCGGGAATGAAGTTTTCACAACCTATATCCTTATTAACAATATTCTTAACTAGTTCGGGGTTTGGAAGGGAATCTGAAGGAAAAACAAATGAAGCATAAGCTCATATTGCAAGAAACTTTCACTTTAATACATCAAATTTTAACACTAGGTTTTTAATAATTAATTCTTGGAACTGTGTCTGTACACAATGTCGGCCTAATTAATTAAATCCAAGGGAGTAAAATTAACCGATAACAAAGCTACTACTGGCCAGTTAGTGCATGTCTATAACTTCAAAACGTCACTCCAATAAGCAGACTTACTTCCCGCGATATTTTTCGTACAATGCCCGATGTGTATGTAGATATAATATACGCTATTTCCATACTAATTAAATATACCGATACATTAATTTGGAAGTTCGCTAAATCCACAAAGACAGGGGACGGATTTTGTAGGGAATTATAAGAAGATTCATGTTTTGACCAGCGAGTCTTTTCTATACCTGATAAAATATTTTAAAATTTCCCCGAGCGCCATTGATCTGGAGTGTAATGTATCATAAACGCATGCTTATCAATTATTTGTTTGTCAGGAGAGAAATCTATCTACATGGATTATAATTTGTTTATTAACGGCAACTCTCCAGAATAAATACTGTCTAATGAACTGAATATCCAAATCATCTCATGCCAAAGAGAGAGCTACTTATATAGGCAAATGTAGCTCTCGCATAATGGCCCTTTAAATATCACGCAGAAGATAAACGTTTTTCCCAGATCGATTTTATTAATTTCTCAAATTTATCGGAAACGTAAGCGCCACTTGCTACAGGCAGCGGATATATATCAAAATGTTTAGGGCTCTACGAAAAGTTAAATCTATAATTGTATTTTTACATTAAAGCGATGTCGCTGGCTAGATTCTTTCGGAAATAGAAACAACCGTCTGGGTCATCTACTTTTGAAATCAAAGATTTCGATTTACTCCAAAATTGAGCAATAAATAATTCTAAACCCAAGTTGTTTAAAATTGATTTCCTAATTATTTCCATAATTAAAACATGTCATTCCCCTGTAATATCCATAATTTAACTGGGATTGGTTACGTGTATGACGTGACCAATGGGTTGTTTACATTCACTTAGGACTTAGACGAAATTAATTATGAAGAAAATCATGTTATTGTAAAATAGAGAACTTTTGTACTTATGTACAAATCATGATGTTATTGTAAAACAGAGAACTTTTGTACACCATGTTTATTGATAATGATTTTAGGATTGTTTATTGCTCAATGATAATTTGCATATCCAATTTCGAAAGTATAAGATTTCCCTAGACAGTACAAATGACATCATTAGAGCTAATAATTATTTATAGTCGTATATCTCCGAGAGACACCGAAAGTTATGACAATATATTTCCGGGAAATTTGCGCCAAAGAAATCATAATATATTGCAGAAAATTTTTCGATCACCTTAAAACACATGAAACGCTCGTTTGAGCTCTCAGTATTTTTTTTTTGGGGGGGGAGGGGTGTTGTTGTTGTTGTTTGGTTTCTTTAGCAATCAAAACCGTTGCACTTCAAATTCAGGGGCACGGATACATCTAAAAACATAGGATACAGGGAGTATTCTTTCTTGATTTTAAAGCATTCCCGCGAGTTGGCTTTCAGTGGCTTGCCAACCAAAGAAGAAAGGAACAAAAAGAGTCTACATGACACATAAAATAAAACACATCTAAATCAAAAGCTCAATGTGATCAAAGATGGAATAATGAATATCTAAATTCTGCGTTTCAAAACAACAAAATCGATGGCATAATATTGCTCTCCGGGGGATCTTCCAATCCATGAATACAAAAGACATCTTTTCCATGTAATTATGGCTATACAGAAAGTCGGGCGCAAGCCTAAATATTGTGTTACTTGTTTCCAGTTACACAATATTGTTGCGTATATATAACTAGAGAAAGCTAAATATACTTACAATTGATCTGGACAATTTGGCGGTTGAGGCATCCTATATCCAGATCTATGAAGATCTGCCATACGATCAGCAGGTATTCCTGGGTAAGGGGAAGCCCCTAATGTCGTAATCTCCCATAGCAACATACCATAAGACCACACATCCCCTTTGCAACTAAACTGACCCCATAATAAGGCTTCCGGACTTAACCATTTAAAAGGCAATCGACCCTGTAAAAAATTTAAGGAAACTATTGTATATATTAAAGTAAATCGCTTCAATAGCCGACGATTTGAAACATGTCTTGGACTTTAAATAATAATCTGATTCAAATACAGATCTATATTTCGTTTCGTTTTTTATACTTTTAATGGCCTCTGTTATATGAAGACCGATTATAATGGGTGGTCGCGACAGGGGTCATACGGGCGACTTTTGATCCCATGACATTAGTCATTCTATTAACCAATCAGCGTCGGTGTTCCAAGCGGTTATTTGGAAATACAACGTTTGCTTGTTTTGTTTCTACGGCTGAGATTGTCTATCCTTAGTTCCGCTCATCGCATGATAAGAACTAGACCGAACAGAACATTTGATTGACTTATCCCTCACATCACCCAGAACGCGAGTTAAACACTCTTTCAGATCCTGATGACAAGTAAAACAATATTTTGAACTACTAAAGAACAAAAGATCAGTGTTTAAATCAGAAAGACTTTCATGTTACGTCTTGTTAAGCTTTCAGATAAAAAATATGTTTAGATGGTTGAACAGATCAATTGGGTTCGAGGAAGCAGAGTTTTAAATTAATTTTATTTCTTTTCTATGATGATTACTGGTATATAAAAATGTATAATTTGTATTCTAGGAATCTCTTTACCTTTATAATATTAAAACAAGTAAAACAATATTTTGAAATCAGAAAGACTTTCATGTTACGTCTTGTTAAGCTTTCAGATAAAAAATATGTTTAGATGGTTGAACAGATCAATTGGGTTCGAGGAAGCGGAGTTTTAAATTAATTTTATTTCTTTTCTATGATGATTACTGGTATATAAAAATGTATAATTTGTATTCTAGGAATCTTTTTACCTTTATAATATTAAAATAAAATAATAATAATCACGAGTTAACTTTTGAGTACTTATCTACATTTTATATATAATTATGTAACGTGGTGTGTGTCATCATTATTCAAAGGTTGTGTAAATTACATAATTTGATAGGTTATATGAATGTGTGTATTTTATAATCTTATGAAAATTGTGATCTCCAGAGGTTCCACAGGCTAAAAACGCGATTTTTTGTACGACCACGGACCATAAACCACGAAAATACGGTCCTATATGCACAATTTTCGAAAGGAATCGAAACCTTTGGGATATAAACATAAATAATTTAAGTTTCATTAAAATCGGATAACAATTTGTGGCCTCTAGAGGGTCCACAATCTTGGTATTAGATACTTTTACACTATTTGTGTACGTGGAGTGGCAATTTTGTCGGGCAATTCTAGTCCAATTTACACAAAATTCAATTTCGACTGTCATTAGGGAGTAACGGTGATATATTTTAACGGGTTTTAAAATCGGATAACAATTGTGATCTATAGAGTTTCCACAAGCTAAAACACGATTTTCTGGAACCGAAATCTTTGGGATATAAACACACATTTCAATTTTCATCAAATCAAAATTGGATAATAATTGCGACCTCTAGAGGGTTAACAATATTGGTATTACATACGTTTTACGGGTTATAAACATACATTTGAGGTTCATCAAAATCGGATAAATATTGTGACCTCTACAGTGTCCACGAGCTAAAAACGTGATTTTTTCGTTCAATCAGGGGTTATAGTCCATGAAATTACGGTCTTATAAATGCCAATATCGACAGATAAACCTATATTTCATGTTTCGTCAAAATTGGATAAAACTTGTGACCTGTAGACAGGGGCAATGACAATATATGCGAAACGGGGTCTTTTAATAGCTCTGCACATTTGGGTGATAATGTCATGTTTTCACTCAAATGTTGTCTTATTTTTTAAATGATTGCCAAGCATTTAGTAAAACAATTTACTATAGAAATGAATATGTTACTAAGCCAAATAATATAAATTTTGCAAAGGCTGTTATACCTTTGTCACCCGTAAATAGTAACCGTTTTCGTACACATCTCTAGACAAACCAAAATCTGATATCTTTGCTACTGGACCTTGAGCTAATAAAACATTTCTAGCAGCTAAATCTCGATGTATACACTGAAAAGAAAATAATAATTGAATCAGATTTGTTGCCAGGCAGAAAATATATGCCTTCCATCAGCCAGGCTGCATATCAATAGAAATAATTTGGGTAATTATAAGGGTTAAAGTTTCCAAGCGGTGTTACTCTACTATCAATAATAAGAAATAGTTGACATCAGACTGTCAATTTAAGCTATAAATTTCAAAGATCTTGTGACGAAACGATTTGTCTGCGATTAACACCCACTGAAGAAGAGCTCGTTAAGACTTACAAAGGAACGAACGATGACCAAACTATTCTATAAACTGACCCGATCGTCATTAGCCCAGAAAAGTAGGACGTTAAACCAGTGTCGACATAATTACGTCCACAAGACATTAGACCCCGTTACATTCCATTCCTATTAACACACACACCTGGGGTACAGGAGGTGATAAGACTATACCCTTCGTATGCCCTGCGTGTCGTAAAAGGCGACTAAAACGATCCCGGTAATGGGGCAACGCGTTGGCCGTACGTTGCGACCCGTGTCGGTGAAGAGTGGAATCTTGGAAATTGAATGGGGATTTGGCTTGCTAGCCCTTTCTCTGCAACTCATTACTTTGGCCCATGGTTCATCTAGACGGGAGGTCAGACTGAACCATTGTGATCAATCGGCTTTGGTTGTTTTAGCTCCGCGGAGTAGTACGATCCTAATTCCAATGCTTTGTTGTATTTTTCACTCAGCAAATATACCTTTGTGTCCTTAGTACACAAACGTTCCCGATGGATTCCCCGATCCCTCGCACCCCAATAATTAAAGATGATAACAAATATAAACAGAAACGTCCGAGTTCAGAGGACGTTTCATATATATTTAATAAAAATTGTAAAATGTCAAAGTCTTGGCCGAGGTTCCTCTTAATTGAGAGCCCCTCAAAAGACCTATCAAAAGTATCCCCATTTTGATAACCAAGTGCATAGCTGGCTATAAAAAAAACCCTAAAAAACGGAACACTCTTAACAGAATGTGCCAAACGCAGCTTCTTAAATCTTCATCTTAGGCAGAAATTTCTATTAAGGTGTCTCCCCATAGGCCTTTTACTTCTAGTAGAGGTGTAAATACGTTGCCGGACCTTGAAGGCAGCAGTGAGGAAGAAATGGTAGAATACCTTTCTTTTCAAGGTGTACAACACGTTAAAAGAATTAGTGTTCTTCGAGGAGATAAGGTGATTCCAACAAGCACCTACATCCTCACTTTCAATCGTCCCGACATACCAAAGACTCTCAAGGCAGGTTAATAAACATACCAGTGGATTCTTACATACCCAATCCTCTTCGTTGCTACAAGTGCCAAAAGTTTGGACACAGCAAAACTGTCTGCAGGGGTAAAGATGGTCATGGTGGCCCCGAGAGCGCTACCTGCCAGGGTGGCAGGTCATGTCTGAAAGCAGGTAGATTTAACTGCACTTTTTCCCATTGCGCCACAAGAAAAAACATTTTCAAGTGCAGTTAAAGTTTCCACCAAATCCATCTCTATTCAGACAGACTTAACCTGGCCTGATAAGCAGGAGAAAACAAAGACTTTGACAACATCAGATCAAAATAAAGGGGTTTCGAGCTCGATTCCAACACCTGAGAGCTCGATTCAAACTATTTCTCCCTTGCTGTGTGGGGGGTTTATCTTCCTTGCCCCATACAGGAGTTGGGAACATTCCCAATACTTCCACCAGAACGGCAAGGCTTATCTTCCCTCACATCACGCTAAAGTTGCAGCTCCTGATCCTACTGGGCTAGTATCACAGCATAAGGGTATTCCACCCTCACAGAGGGGCCATCTGATATATCAAAGTAGAGGGGCCATAACTTTGATATACCAGATGTTTACACTATTTGCATACGAGGGGCGGCCATTTTGTCTGGCAGTTTTGGTCCGATTTTTATGAAATTCAAACTCAGACAAAATTACGGTGTAACGGTGATATATTCGAAGGTTTGTTTTTAAATCGGATAATAATTGTAACTTTTAGAGGGACCGCAAGCTAAAAACGCGATTTTTCGTACAATCAGGGGCCATAATTCAGGACGTTACTATTCGATATGTACAAAAATACAAAGGAACCAAGATATTTGGGTTATAAACATGCATTTCACGTTTCATCAAAATCAGATGAAAATTTTAACCCCCAGAGGGTCCACAACCCTAATACACAATATTTTGACACTATTTGCGAACGAGGAGCGGCAATTTTTTCCGTCAGTTTCGGCCCGATTTTTACGAAATTCGAGATCAACCATCCTTAGGGTGTAACGGTGATGTATTCTAACGTTTTTTTTAAAAAATCGGATACAAATTGTGACCTCTATGGGCTCCACAAGCCAAAAACGCGATTGTTCGTACAATCAGGGGCCATAATTCAGGAAGTTATGGTCCGATATGCGCGAATATCGAAAGGACCCGAGATCTGTGGGTTATAAACATGCATGCCAAGTTTCGTCAAAATCAGATGAAAATTGTGACCCCCAGAGGTTCCACAACCCTGACACACAATATTTTGACACTATTTGCGAACGACGGGTGGCCATTTTGTCCGTAAGTTTCGGTCCGATTTTTACGAAATTCAAACTCAACCATCCTTAGGGTGTAACGGTGATATATGCAAACTTTTTTAAATCGGATAACAATTGTTACCTCTATTCTGTCCACAAGCTAAAAACGCGATTTTTCGTACAATCAGAGGCCATAATTCAGGAAGTTATGGTCCGATATGCCCGACTATCGAAAGGAACTGAGATCTCTGGGTTATAAACATGCATTTCAAGTTTAAACCAAATCGGATAAAAATTGTGACTTCTACAGTGTTAACAAGCGAAAAACGTGAGTTTTCGTAAAATCAGGGGCCATGATCCATGAAGTTACAGTCCGATACATGCCAATATCGAAAGAAACCGAGATCTTGGGGTGATAAACCTATATTTCACGTTTCATTGAAATCGGATAAAAACTGTGACCTGTAGAGTGTTCACAAACAACTTTGGACGGACGGACGGACAGGGGCGACGACAATATACATCCACGTGAAAATGTGAGCGTATAAATAGGGGTGTACCTGTCAAAAGTTGGTTAATGAAGCACCCGAGAAGAGACGAGAGTGCTCTTAGTTTCTGCATGTTGAAAAGGTATACCAGTTCTATCGTATATACACAATGTTGATCGCGGGGTTATAGCGCGTGTTAGAATGTCTTAATGAAAGACAGATACAAAGACTTATTAATGAGGTAGAACTGTTCACAGATATTAATAATGGGTAAAGACCGTTAGTAAGTAAAGAAGAATACTGATGAGTTTCAAAGTTATTAATGACTCTAGGTGATAAGTAGTTAATCAATACTGCTAATTTTTATTAATGGGACAGATTAAGTTCTACGCTGTTAATGGTTTATTCAGTTAAAAGTGTCACGGTCGTTTTATTTAGTACCGCGACACAGGATAGTGTAACATATGAATCCCGCCGGTAAGCCGCCAAAAATAAATTATTACTGAGGTAAATTCCATTATTCAATGGAATTGTCGTGGTTTAAAACGAAATTTTAATTAAGTCCAATTATTAATTCAAATGCACAATCCTTTAGCTAATTGTTTGCAGGAGACTTTTTTTTACGGAATTCTGACACTTTGTCTTTTAGACATTTTGTTAGCTATCATCAATATTCAAATAATGATGATTGAGCTAAAGGTGGTGTTTCTATTATTCTTACGGTGACTCTACATATTCCTATCACACTCTGCTCTATATATCTTCCTCCTAGTTTGCATCTAAATCCCCGAGATCTTGATGACCGTGTTACACAACAACTGCCTCTCCCGTTTATAATTATGGGAGATTTCAATGATCACAATTCCCTCTGGGGTAATCCAGATGACAACAGCAGGGATAAACAAATAGATTCACCTCCATAATTTGTGTTTATTAAATGATGATTCGGATACTTATCTACATCCTGCCACAGCTTATTTTTCTTCCCTCGATCTCACCATATTCTATGTGGAAGTGACCACTTTCCTATTTCAATTGATAATAATGGTCCCCCTCCGGTCGAGAAATCCCAGAGTTGGAAGTTGCATAAGGCTGATTGAGCTATGTTTGAATCTTTGTGTCTCTTCTCTTTTGATGCAAAAGAGTTAGAAGATGCAGATGAGCCCATGGGCTTATTCACTTCAATTCTTCAAGATGTAGCTGAGCAGGCGATTCCAAAAATCACGACTGAACCGAAAGATTTCAAATAACCAAGGTATAATGACGATTACAAATTCGCTCTTAAAGAGCGTGATCGTATCCTGAGACGATTAAAGAACCAACCTTCCATGGAGAATTTTGCGTCATACCAAATAGTCCGGTCGAAACCCGTAGAACCATACTTCAAGCAAAGAAGTCTTCATCCCAAGGTTATGTCTCAAGGATCAATTCCTGTACCACATCAAAATCGGTATGGGATAGGATTCGTAAGATTAAGGGTAAAAGTAGTTATCAGTTAACCATCTAAATGTTGATAATAACACCTTAACAATATTTCCTGATAGTCTGGAGGCTCAGCGTGGGGGGGGGGGGGGGGTCCATCAAATGGGCACAAAAACAGACCCATCTTTTCTAGAGTAAAATTTTGCGTAGAATACGATGCCGAGTGGTAATGCAGTCCGCCGTTGGGGCGCTTTCGAGATATTCGGGGTCAAAGGTCAAATGGGTTTATTTGCACTGAAAGTGAATGCGCAGTCATTCTTGAAACATGAAAATAAGCCGAAAATGATCGAAAGTAATCACACTTTCAATAAAAATGTAAACTTTCTAAATTCACCTTTGTTCTTTGTGACCCCAGAGGTCAAAAGGTCACATTTCCGTTTTAGCACTAGGAAGATATTTAAAGTAATAAATGTCAGCGTAAAATATAAAAACTAAAGCGAAACCTGTTCCAATATATAATAGGAACATTGAAAATTTATCTTTAGGTGGTCTTAGCACCGAACTATTACTTTGGA